CCCCAAAACCCCAAAACCCCAAAACCCCAAAACCCCAAAACCCCACTACACAGACCCAAGCTGGAACAAACTTTTAATTTACTTCGCCCACAAGAATACTAATCTTCAGAATCTTCATAAAATTCTTCTTGCTTCAGATTCTCAGAATTGTCTTTATCTTCTTCAAGAAATCCCACAATCGACTCTTCCTTCTTGTGGTCGAGAGTCCTGTTTCTACAAAATAGAGTTGAACCTTCAATCTGATCGACTGGTGGACAAGATTTTGGAGGGATCCCAAGAATGATGCCAGCGTCTTTCTCAAGCTTGTCATGATCCAAGTTCTGTAACTTCTTTAATAGTGTAGATATTTTAGTTTTGACATTTTTAGAGGGCTCTTGTGTAGTTGACGGAAAATCACTCGGTTTGGTAAACAAGTCGTCAGTGGAGCCTTTGTGAAGGTAATTACTTCTGCAGTCAAAGTCCATCATCAGTGCTTGGTGTTCGCTCAAAGTCAGTTTCATCAGTGTTTTGAGATGTCGTATCGAGCACACAACAGATATCAGGTCTCACTCATCTGCAAGTTTGTCGCTGAGAACTGTGAATTCAGAGCGAGCTCTGGTTTTGAAGCATGGCACCAATGTCTTGAAATAGTCTTTGGCTGTAAAATGGAATCTTCGTTTTGAGTTGATTCGGGACTCAATTGTTTGTAAGAGAGTTTGCTCTTTCTCGTTTAATTTTGTGATGATAGTGCCTTTATCCTTCTTTGATGACTTTGGAGCAACCTGAGATTTGTCATTTGTAGTGTGAGTATCAGCTTCATCAAGTCAATACAACTGTGAGAATAACGAGTAGCTACACATTTGTGATGCGAAATAGTGAACAAGAGCTCCACCGAATATAGCGAGTACTTCAAAGAAACCTCCGAGTTGACCAGAAAGATCGAGAATAGAGTAAACTCTTCTTTCATACGAATCAACTATTGAATCTTGTGAGATCTCAAAATCAATCAAAATTTGGTCATCAATTTCTCTTGTTTGAGCATCTTCTTGATTATCTTCAATAGAATAAAATGAATCCTGTATTTCTGCTCCAAAGGGCAATATACTGTCAGATAATGAAATCGTAGACTTCTTGACATACAAGCTAATAAACTTTTTGAGACCTGAAGATAATCTAAATGAAAATTTATCGTCGACCACTCTCTTTATAGGATTATCATAATCTTCGAAATCAAAATATTTTGAACTAATCATAAAGTTTGCTCTCAAATCTTTTAATTTGGCTTCAATTTCAGTGTTTGGTTTTCAAACTACAGAAGTTCCGTTAACTCATTTCTTGATAATAACTCTTACAGTTTTATAAGTGTTAAAGAAGATACTTCCTCCAACTGAGAAATTAGTCTGAACCGGACAATAACTGGTGCTCATAAAAAATTGTCTGAATGCAGTTAATTCATCGTTAACTTTAGGGAAATTTTCATTGCACACATGCATGTTTTCTTCTACTTCTTTCCTTGAAAAATACCCTGTGGTTAAATCAAAAGAATATTCCAATAATATTGTAGACATATTGAGATATGTTGGATCGATAAAAGGAGTATAGTTAATTTCATCTTCCATCAAAATAGCAAATGAGAGGTCATCATACCCAAAGTCATAGTAATCAGACACTGAAATTTGATCTCTCTTAATACTATTCTTCGACTTGTTTGTAGCTGATCTTGTGAACATTTGAATCGACAGAAATATTCCGTATATCAATAAAAATGCCATCAGTCCCATAGTAACAACTCCTCCAAAGAAAGATGCAAAGTTATGCTTGCCTTGGAAAGTAAGGCTTATTGGCTTAGAGAACATATCAATGGAGTTGACTTGTCTCTTTGACCATATCCAAAAATTGTCCATAATATTTATTATTTATATTAAATAAATTTAATAAAATTTTGGGGTTTTGGGGTTTTGGGGTTTTGGGGG